TAAGTAGTGCATTTGCTCGTTTTAAATTGTTTGACTACGTTTGCAAATGCCTTGTCCAGTGAAAACGTTAATGCCGGTGGATGACAGGTCAACGGTTTAGGTTGTACCGTAATAAAACCGCCAGCTTGTGGAGTGAGAGGTCGCATTCGCCCCGGGTTCTCGCTAAATCTGCAAGAAATTCTGTCAGAATGCTGATACGATTAGCTCAATGTTTGTCCATCAGAACTGTCGGGTGACTCGCCTCATACAGTTTGATGTAACGTGAAATAAACAATCACGCAGCTTTAATGTTTTGTCGATCAGAACTGGCGGGTGACTCGCCTCATACAGTTTGATGTAACGCGAAATAAACAATCACGCAGCTTTAATGTTTTGTCGATCAGAACTGGCGGGTGACTCGCCTCGTACAGTTTGATGAACGTGAAATAAACAATCACGCAGCTTTAATGTTTTGTCGATCAGAACTGGCGGGTTGACTCGCCTCATACAATTTGATGTAACGTGAAATAAACAATCACGCAGCTTTAATGTTTTGTCCATCAGAACTGGGTTCACAGTCTTCCTTGAACGTAAAATTCTGGCGGGTGACACACCTCTCGATATAACGCGAAAGAAGTAATCTCGCAGCTTAACGTTTTGTTCTATGTAAGACGGCGTTACTATCATTTGCTACTTATCAATGCGCCGATAGCGAAACACGCATTATTATATTCCAAACTTCTCTCAGGAGTACAAAACGAAGGTCCTTTCTTCTAAAGGAAATTCAATGCCTGTTTGAAATAACTCGATGACAAGTATGACCTGCTGCTCGTTTCTGGATTGCTTTCATACAATAACATTTTCCTGATAGAAGACTGTCGGGAAAAACACCTCGCTAAGATCATACGTGGCAACACCCGCCGCGTTTGGGTAGTCCATATAAATTCCTTGTACTAAAAGTAGAAGGAAATGTATGGAGCTCTCCGGAATACTTACAGTTCAAGCCGTGCGTGTCTTCTCATTGATTAGTTTATTTATTTTCATATAACATGTTGAATTATTCTCGCATGTTGATTGATTCCTAAACATTCTTTTTTGTTTCTTTATTGCCTGAAACAAGTAGTTTCCATGTTACCGTGCGTCTGTTCAGTAATAGATCACAGAAGACATCAAGATGGGGTAAGAACATCAGTTACACTCTCTTTGTGATCTATTACTGAGCAGACGCACGGCAACATGGACTCTATTCGTCAAGTAATCTGTAGAGACAGAGCTTACCAATGAGTGAGTTTACTAAATCGTGCAAATGTTCCATCAGCTATGGTCTCTAGCTTGTTCCGGTCTAACATCCTGTTGTAAAACACACCATTCAACTCACATAAAGATTAAGGACCCAAGTTATAATTCATGAAATAAAGATTCATAAGTTTCAGAAACAGAATTGTCGTGGCTTGGTAGTGAGAGACAATTTTGAGCTGAGCTATTTACACAAACAGAATTGTCGTGGCTTGGTAGTGAGAGAAAATTTTAAGGTGAGTTACTTACAATCTCGATAGTTGATCGCCGGGTCCTTCCAATGCACCAGGTTGTAAATGAGAGATCACATTGAGGGAAAGGTCGCTGTATATGTAGATAAAACAGGTTCATTAAATAAAATATTAAATGAGTTAATCGAATAATTAGGGCCAGATAGGTCACAGCACTTGAAGCAAGCTTTTCGGCATGAGCTAAATTTTTGAAGCACTCGAAATTTATCCTTGCTAAATCAAATCGAAATGTTGCTTAGAAACAGAACTAATTATTTACTTACAGACTGGTCAAATTGTTCATCGCTCGAAAAGTTCCATTCTCGATATGTTGAAGACTGCAGCCGCTAATGCTTCTAAAAGAAAAAGAATGAATAACAATAAAAAGGATTCGAAAGGAAAAAACTCTGAAACTATTTTTTTTAAGAGTTATACTTGTATTTTGTTTTTGTCTGTTTTTTTTTGTCGGTCTATATTTTTTTGGCTAACTATTGTTTATTTGTGTGCGTGTGCGTCTGTGTAAGTTGTTTTAATCATTTATTGGTATGCAATTGCACAATTCGCTTAGTAAGTTCGATGTTTTTTTCTCTTAACGTTAGGGGAATTAGAGATCAGATTAAAAGAAGGAGTATCTTTTCGTTTCTGAAAGAACATATTCTGAACCAAGTGATAAAAACGTCTGGAAAAAAGAATGGAGTGGCGAGCTATTTCTCTCGCATGGCACAAAGCATAGCAAGGGTTTCTGTGTTTTAATTAATCCCACGGCGCAAATCCAAGTCAATTATTCTTATTCCGACAACTCAGGCGGAATAGTGTTAATTACGATTTCTCTGAATGGTCATAAACTCACACTTTGCAATATCTATGCACCAAATAACCAGGCCAATCAACTACAATTCATGCAAGAGCTTAACAACTGCATTATTGAAAAGACGGAACTTACTTCATTAATTGTTGGTGGTGACTGAAACTGCACATTGTCTAAAAAACACAAAATAGGGGGTGCGCCTTGGAGGCAAACAATCTACAGTAATCTCGTCTCCACGACCATGGAAATGTTTGATTTAGTAGATATTCAGAGAGCACGGTACCCCAAATTACGTAAGTTTACATTCGAGTCAAAATCTTTAAAAGTAAAATCTAGAATCGACTTCTTTCAATTGCAAAAAACCTCACACCAAGTGTTAAAAACACGCAGATCCATCTAGCAATTGCTCCTGACCATGACGCAATATTCATTTCATTATCATTACCAAACCAATGCCCCAGAGGCTCAGGATTTTGGAAATTCATCAACACCCTCCTAAATATAATGATGAGCAGTATGTCAACAGGGTTCGTGACGCGTACTCACTAGCACGTAACTATTATAGCCATTTAACCGATAAGAGACTCTTTTGGGAGATGATCAAAATGGAAATAAGATCGGCGACGATCTCATATTCCAAAAGTAAATCCAAACGTATTAATAACCGTGAACAGGATATTCTGTGGAAACCTAACCTTCTAGATAGTACCATCTGTAACAATTTCTACTCCCCTGATATTGATGACACGCTAAAAGAATATGAAAATCTTAAATTTGAGCTTAAAAGCAATCTATGAAGAAAAAGGTAAACAGGCTATGTTTAGAGCTAAATGTCGTTGAGAAGAAATCCGAGAGCGGCCAACAAAGTATTTCTTCAATTTAGAAAAACGAAACTACAACAAAAAGACCATCAGTGAGCTTAGACTGCAAGATGAAACAACTACTAACAATGAAATCGTCATTCTACATCAAATTGAAACTTTCTATAAAAATCTATATGCATCTGATGGAAATTTTCTTCTAGATGAAGAGTGCAATTTATTTATCCGTAATTTAGAAATCCCCACTCTCATGGATGAAGATCGCCACAATCTGGAAGGTCCACTAACATACGACGAATGCAGAAAAGCATTAGAAACCTTCCAGAATGATAAAGCCCCCGGAGAAGACGGTTTTACAATCGAATTTTATAAATATTTCTTTGATCTACTAGGCAATGACTTATTAGCGACTCTTAATGAAGTACATGCAAATGGCGAACTTAGCATCTCTCAACGAAGGGGAATAATCATGCTAACTCCAAGAGAGGATGGCTCGCTCTTAGAACTATCTAATTGAAGACCGATTACGCTACTTAACGTCGACTTTAAGACTGCTGCCAAGGTAACTCCAAAACGTCTCGAACCAATACTCCCATCCCTAATTCACTCGGATCAAACAGGCTTTGTTAAAGGACGCCATATAGGGGAGAATATCTAATGGAAATAACAAAAACACATAATCTCCCCGGCATATTAACATCACTAGACTTTCGGAAGACCTTTGATCCTCTCGAATGGCCCTTTATAATGAAAACGCTAGACTACCTTAATTTTGAAACTGACATGAAACGCTGGGTCAGCACTTTCTATTCAAACATAGAGAGTACGGTAGTCAATAACGGCAATAGAACGAACTGGTTTAAACCGTCTAAAGGAGTACGCCAGGGCTGCCCTCTCTCCCCTTACCTCTATATTCATTCAGCCGAACTGCTTGCAAATGTAATCCGCCAGGACTCAACCTTGAAAGGCATCAAGATATTTGGAAATGAAATCAAGCTCTCTACGTTTGCGGATGATACTACCCTATTTAATGCTGACGTAGGATCGTTAGAAAAAGCACAGAAAATATTGGAAGATTTTCGGAAACTAGCGGGTGTTTTCTTAAACGTGAAGAAAACAAAGGGCGATCTGGTTAGGAAAATGGATGAATAATAAAAACAAACCCCTAAATATTTCATGGTTTCATTGCCCAGTGAAAATTTTTGGGATCCATTTCTCTTACGATGAAAAAGGAAATAACGAACTTAATTTTCGCCAAAATATTTGGAAACTCCAAACTAAAAGAAGAGCAATGATACTAAAAATCTTGGGCCTATCACAATTAGTTTATTCGGTTTCAAACCTTGTAGTTCCTGAGGGGAACGGTGGGTTTAGAGAAAACAAAATTGTTTAGATTTCTATGGAGGAACAAAAAAGATAAAATAAAAAGATCTGGTCTTTATCAAGACCAAGATAGAGGAGGAATACGCATGACCGACACAAATATTATGTTCAAAGTCTTAAAACTTGCATGAATCCCTAGATTGATAAAATCGGATAAAAGTAACTGGTGCACCATCCCGAACCATTTCTTTCAGAGAATGGGTGGCCTAAACTTTCTCTTAAGGTGTAACTACGATACAAAACACTTCAACAATTTACCATTTTTTACAAGAAGATTCTTGATAATTTTAATGAATTAAAAAATCTCTATGATTATTATCAAAAACAAGATATAATATGATTCAACAACAAAGAAATACTTATTGGCGGGAAACCAATTTTTTGGAGTGATTGGTTCAAGAAGGGTATCATTTCTATTAAGAATTTTTTAGATGAAACCGATAATCTGTTACCTTTTCAAGCATTCGCCATTAAATATTCATGCAAAACCAGTTTTCTACAATATTATCAAGTGCTCAGCGCCATTCCTAAGCACCTCCTCTCCATAGCCAAGCAACCTGACACCTTTAACAAATCGTTCTTTACCAGTAAGGACAATATTTTTCTTCTGAATGAATCGGCACAAATTAATTTTGGCACGGCAAGGTCAAGACATTGCTATAAGTTGCTTGTCTCCAAGACTCACACCCATGATCAAACTGGCCCCAAACGTTGGAGTGAAATCTTTCTATAAATAAGGATTCGTGGACCAGTATTTTCAGGTCACCGAAAAATATTTGTAAGGAAACTAGGCTAAAAGAGTGTCAGTTCAAACTAATTTACAGAATCGTAATAACTAGGAAAGAACTATTTGTATTCGGCATCAAGAGTGATGACGAATGCCTGTATTGTGGGGTAAGGACTCTATTGAGTACACTTTTATTGAATACCCGTTTACCAGGTCCTTTGCAAAAAAAGTTACACAATGGTTTAACGAAGCTAATTGTTGTCAGATCTCCCCTACCACCAAGGAACTCTTGTTCGGTATTATTCCTAGCTCCAAAGAAACAAAAATAATCAAAAAATTTAACTACACTACCCTATCTATGCGCCATTACATATATTCAAACAAAATCAATAGTAAGGGCATTTACACGCACGAATTCATCAATAAATTATCTCTTAAGTACAATCTGGAAAATATCAATTAATTATAATAAAATATTTTAGATAAATATCAATTAACGAAAATGTATCCTCTGATATAGTTGTAGTTACAATCTTGTGAATTCCCCTACATCTTGAACAGCTCTGTACTATTTAGATGTTAAAGTATAGTAATTAATGCACAGTGCTGTGAACGCGTAATTTTGTAAGTAATGTTAGTACTGTAAGTGTCATTAGTTGTGTAAGAATTGTAGCTATTGCAAGACAATAAAAAATAAAAAATAATAATAATAAAAAAATTAAAAATTAAAAAACAAATAAATAAGAAATAAATTTTGTAAACAATCTTGAAACAAATTAACTACGTCAGTAATATTATCTACGAAGTGTCTAAATGACCGGCAGCTGGTCAAGGTTTTGAATGAACTAATAGGCCGGCAGTCAAAGCGTTTTTGCAGTTTAGCCTAAAAAGCACTCCGATTAGCCTGAATAGCACTCCGGTTAGCCTGTGTAAGGTTAGATTTCAATAATGGTAAGGGTGATACTATATTTACTTAAAAAATCCCGAAAGCTAACAGTCGGTTTCGGTGGCGAAATGATAATGAGTATCGCTTGCAATGCGGGCGACCCGGGCTCGATTCCTCTCACTTCCGGTCATTTAGTCTATTTAAAACCTTGACCGGTTGCCGGTCACATAGCAGTGGCGGATCTAGGGGAGGGCTTGGGGGTCCGATCCCTCTTATTTTGGGTAACAGAAGAAGAAATCACAGAAGGAAGAAAAGCTGGCAGGGTAAGCAAAACAAAACCGCCCTCTCCCCCCTTATCTCAAGGTCTGGATCCGCCACTGCATAGCCACAGCGTTTTAGTTATCTTATCGATTGCAAAAGCGGGCAACGTTTTCCCACCACCAGCTTTTATGATTTACTCTCTCACTCAAGAGATTAAAATAAAGTTTTCTTTAATTGTTTGTCTGTAGTAAAGTTCTCTTTGCCACATTCTACTCAAACCAATTTACACTAAAAACGACCCATATAAGGCTATCATCATATGACATTTTGATTACTTTATAGCTATATATTTATTTATCTCCTGATCCTCACATTTGTTTTTTAAACAAACTTTAATTTTTTCTACAAAAACTCCGGAAGTTGCTTGATAAATTAGCAGGAAAGAGCAACATACAGTTATTTGATAACTT